CCTGTGTGTTTCTTGCGGCAAAAACAAGAAGCAATGACACAAACAAAAATCATGACAACCACTTTTTCGAGCCCAACCCATGTGTCTTCCTTATAGGAGCCCTTGCAAAATGACAATGTCTCGGAATGCCTCTCGTACACGCGGGGAGAAGGCTATGAAGTATAAGTTTGTCATGGGCATATAGCTTGGGTGCACCCCATTCCCTGTAACAGTGGATTGTAACGGTTAGTAAAGGCCTTTCTCGAAAGTCTCAAACATAGCAATAGCTATAGTCTTCTATTGATTGTTGCAGGTCATGGGACACTATGTATGGCCCCTTTTGTGTGACAGTCTTGCGTCGTTGAACAGTCCTTTTTTTCTGATCCGGGATGTCCGGCTACTTTGGCCTCAGGGGCGTCGAGAAATGTGCCCCCAGTCCGGTGTTTCCACTAGGAGGTTCGATGGAGTGCCCTGATCGCCAGGTCCTCTGTGCACAGCGAATCTCATCAAAAAAAAACATCACAAAAATCGCCTCAAACCACTGCACGACCAGGCGAATGCACATATAGCATGGAAGAGCTCCAAGGGCCGGGTACACGTTGCAGCAAGGTCCACGTGATATGCCCAGCCTCGCCTCATCGAAAGCTGGACCTTCTTCTCCGGGTCTGTCAATGCAGGAAATAAGCTCGGCCGCATTAGCAGCAAGAGAGCCGCAAAGGTGGAACAGAAAATGCAGTGCCTCAGCTTTCAGCCCGGGACAGCGTTTCAGGGACATGTGTGTGTCGCTACTAGGGTTGGAGGCCATCGCTAGTAGGGTCTCTTTCGGTCTTTTGGATCTTTTGGAGTTTCGGGGACATGTGTAAAGATTGAAGCACCTTCTTTCTTTCCTCACGAGGAACCCAGGGAGGTGGGTTTCATCAAATGCTTCGGCCGAGAAACATCGCGTTGTTCAGAACGGAAAAACTCGTTGGAACATGGACATGTTCGTGTCGAACCTGGACTGCTCGAATGAAAGGAACCACATGTTGCAACGACCTAGACATGAGGTCCACAGGTCATGTTTGAGGGAAATCAAAACATGAGAGGGTGACCAAAGAACGGGCTAATAACTTGCAACAGGTTTCTGGGCATCGGCAGCCACAACTAGTGCAATGCTTCGAGCCTGGACACTCCGAGCAAACACCAGTTACCCCCCGTAGGTTCTTCTAACCAACAATTGACTCAGAAATGCTCAGAAGGGCTGAGCGGCATGCCCCTTCAGCTGTAATGTCCATAAAAGAAAAAACACCCCTCAACTTTACCTCAAAATGATTAAAACACACACACACACACACCTGGAGACTCACCTGGAGCATTCTGGTGCAACATCCGTGGGTAGAGCTGTGCCCTATTTCTTCTGTGCCCTATAGGCAAGAAAAAGCCGCGAACATGAGTACTCGCGTTCCCTGCTCGCACTTTCTTCTTTCGCTCTCGTGCCAGCGCGGCACAAGATCACCAGGAAAAACGGATAGGGGAAATGGTCCTTCTGCATCAAATACCTCGTTTTCAGGCAAAGTTCCGACACCAACGACCGACCATAGACCGAGAAAACACGATGGGAACCGCGGCAGCGGCGACAGGCGACAGCGCCTGATGCCGAGACGATGTTTTGCGCAACAAAAGGCACGCAGCCTAGTCCGAAACTAGACTTAATAATACGCTAATTTGGTCAAGTACCCCAAACAACCATGCAAACATGTCACGACAGGGCTGGTCAGGCTCAACTGCTGGGTCCAACTGGTCTTGATGTACCCTTTGGCTCACTAACTATAGCATGGACATGCTGCATGCGAACTGGCAAAGAACAAAGGTTCATGTTCATTCATTTTCCATGTCCATGCTAACGAGCAAAGGGAAAACTCTCAAACAGTCTGCGGATGTACCTGTGAGATATTCACTCCTGGGACTCGGGCTCTCTGCTACCCACGCAGGTACCGCACTCAGGCTCTCCACCTTCGCTTCAGCCAGCTAGTTTGCACGACTGGAGCAATTGGGACTGCGTTCACGCACGTCGCTTTTTCGTCTCTGCGGCATGGATCTTCACAAACGAAAGGAGAGACGTGTGACGAAACCTGATGGATCCAACATCCTCATTTGAGGCACACCAGGTGGAACATGTTTCTGCCTATCCAAACAAAAGTTCCATGGATGTCTGTTTATGAGGCGTATGATCTGGTAAACTATATTTATATAACCCTTTATATAACCCCACTTTCATTCTTGAACACACAAAAAGAAACAAACTTGAACTATTGTTGAACTTATGTTTGAACTCTTTGAGACATGTTTTGCCCTGTTGATCCTGCCGGACCAAGTCACATTCAACAAAAATATCTAGCTCCTCCCAGCACAAACATTCTCTCACTCATGTCTTTGTCGGTCCATCTATATCGCCCTTCAAATCATCCCCATCCTCCAAGTCCCATCCAATGGGACGGTGCCAAGCCCGTGCCGAGCGGCTGGTTCGATCGGATCAAGGCCGTAGAGGTGCAAATCACAATGATGGGCAAGCAGCAGCCTCTGACAGGTCCAGTGAGGCGTTAGACATTGCAAGTTGGGTGAGGATAGATTGATTGAAGTGTTTTCTCTTCAAACCTATTCAAGATTCCGAAAGACGATGACAAAATGTGGACTGAGAAGCATTCTGGGCTGTTACTTTTACGCCCTGGAAAGCTGCTGGTTGATCTGGTTGTGGAACATGAACAGGGAGCGAGTCCAACCTAAGAGCGATGGCCTGCAACCCACTAGCGATGGCCGCCACGTTGCTAATTACGCAGAAAGCACCAAGAAAACTGCGAGGCGTCTGACAGTGCAAACACATGAAGGTTGTGTAGCTCTTGATATATCAGCCGTCTTGCATCTTCCAACATATCATATGGTACTTAAAAACAGCACAAAACAGAATCAAATCATGTCTCCTGCAAACGCTTTAAGTCCACAAAAGCCTCCAAAGGAGACTTGTTGGAGGGCAGAATTTCCCGTGTCCTTTAGGAACGGTCGAAGTTCGTTCTGCATCTCAAGCTGAGCTGATTTCATCGAACTGTTCAGCTTACAAACAAATCTTCCTAACTTGTAAGCTGAATATACCGAAAATACCGACCCCATTCTACATCCCCCCCAGCCCTTCGACACTGTGAGAGAGCCCATGGCACTGGCAAAATACCCCGATGAACAACTACCCCCAAAGGTGCCTAACCATGCAAGTATAGAACAATAATATCTATAATAGTTACGTTCTAGAATGTTCTTTACATGTATTAATCATTCATATATATACATCACATCTCTGCATGGAGCCATGTCCATCGCGTCGACCTTCATCCTGACGTGTTGGTCACTCACCCGGAACGGAAGGGAAAACGCCAACAAAGGGGACGAAGAGATGTGAGTCAACGGCCCCGCCGCGTGGAGTCGTACCTTCGAAAGGAAGGTGAGGATGGAGACACTGTTATGCAGGTGCCAGGAGGGACAGTGCAGTACCTTCTGAAAAAAACAGATGCACTTAGTACTTGGGTCCCATATATGGGCATTCGCTGCACCAGGTCCCACAGCCCACGGCCATTCGCTCCAGTTCCGCCCAGCAGCATAGAACGATTTCCGAACGGCTCAACGCCTGGCATCCGCGGTTTCGGTTGACCCCCGCGGAGCATCCGTGCCGATGCATGGGTGTCCGTAGTGGCTGGACCGGGCGGCTCGGCAGAAAAAAACAAAAAACGACCATGGAAAGAGCTGCCCCACGAAGCACTAGAATTAGTGTTTGATTATGGTATGTCTGTCACGATAATTATTAGTGGGTGTGTAATTAATAATGGTATATGTCTGTTGATCTTCCATGGGTTTGGCTCATGCCTTCGTCGTTTCAATGCACCAATTCTTCTTTTGTTCCAGTTACACATTGCGCTTCCTAACTCGAAAACAACTGAGCACCGAATCATAGATGGCTCAAACATACCCGTATCTGATATGGCCTTACCACTAGGAACAAGAAGCTACTAGGGTGGGGCGTCCAACATACCCAGGGATCCAGTCGTACCGAACCTCAGAAGGTGGGACTGGTGTGGGTGGGAGGAGTGTCCAGGTGCCTTCTGAGAAGGTACGACTATATCCCTAGGGATAGTATAGTAATGTATAATGGTATAGTCATGGGTATCTCAAAAGATATTTCAGCACTGCTTGACATCACTTGATGAAAGTAGATAGTATATATTAACACTGGCACGTCAGATTTTCTTCACTATCGTGGGGTGCCAGTCATCTGGCCGTGGGTACCCCGCCGTCCACGTGATGCGCTAACCCGTCTAGCCCGTAGCTGTGATCCTCTTCCAGGATCCAGTTCTCACCCCCTTCTCACTGTTTGGGGGTTCGCTGCTATGGATGGAGCCGAGCTGGAAAGAAAACATCTCCCGCCTTCGCTTCATCTGCCATCCGCTGCTTTTCACACTTGAAAAACGTGTGTTTTCAGGGAGGTTCGGTGGATCCATATGGAAGCTGCTAAGCAAGGCTTGAGCCTGTAGCCACAGGTGGTCAGGCATATCTCAATCTTGGATAGTCAGTCTTGACGGTGCTGCAGCTGCAGTCGACTTCCCTCACAGAATCCCCCATATGTTGGGCCACCTGAACCTAAATCTGAGTGACGATAGGCGCAAGGCATCGCAGGGTCTGATTCTCCACAATGCTTGGGAACTTAGGTGGTCAGGTGGTCAGGTCATTGAAACAATGCAGTCGCACAACATTTCTTCACTCCGGCCTTTTTGAGCATGGCCACAAAACGGATGCCCGATACAGGGTAGAAATCCTTTTGATTTGAGAATTTGCCCCAAGAAATCATGGAGAAACATAAGGATCAACCAACTGAACATTCAATGGCAACCATCTGTGAGGCCTTTGGTGAGTCTTAACTGTTATTGTTCTACAGTAATTATCCTCAACGGTCCTTATGGCGCTGAATCTTGGTTCGGCTGCTAAAACCCCAGGACCCCAGCATCGCAGGTATCTTCACGACCTCGCCAACGAGTCGCATCCGTTCCGTCGAAGCACGTGGAGAGATGTGGCTCGGGATGGCACGGGTTTCTTCTCCACTCATTGCCATGTTTTGCATTTTGTACTTATGTACATGCACTCCAGAGTTTCGAGGAGTCAACATGGGCGGCATGTCATGAACAGAAAGAAAAGAGAGAGAGAGAGAGAGAGAGAGGGAGTCTGGGGTTTAATCCGGAGATGCCGATGCCTGTCACCTCTTTGTCAAGATCAATCCATTGTTCCTTCACATTGTGGGCGTTGGCATATTCACCCAAAGAGCATGGTAGCATGACTGAAAGAGTTTCCACGCACCTCTCCAAAGACTAAACCATCAAATTGCAGGGATGGCGATGAATACCACAAAAAGGCCAATATGGCGGCCAAGGGAGCGCTTACTGGTGTTCAAGTGGGTCCAAATCAATCTATAACACTATATGAAAATTAATATGAGGTTAATATGTTTCTACTATAAATGTTATACACGGCGTTCCGGGGTCTATGAACCTGTCCTGTTTCTTCCAACGCAAAAAGGCTTCTTCCGACACCAACCATCTTTTCTTGACACCACACGGTACTTCGCAGCTGGGCGCAGCTGAGCGCCGCTTCCGCCAAGGTTCCGAAGTCCATCTGCACTTTGGTGATCGCAAAGGTGTCGGGCGCCGGGCGCAACGCGCCAGACCTGAGAGGTCGTACGGCAACCCGAAACGACGGTCAGAAGCGTATTGAGAGAGGATTCAACGAAGGATTCGGATCACATATTAGTTGCCCCCTGTAAAGCTGAAACTGGGGTTTTGAATCTTTGGTTTGTCAGGCACTCTTGGATAAGATTTTGTCACAAAAACCGTTTGCAAACCTGACTGGCCCCCAAACAAACATGCCACGTTGGAAACATTTAGAAACCATATTTCATTGATTGAAAGCCGTATTATGGGGGGAGGTCAAATACCGTTAAGAGTAGGGTATTTGGTGGCTGTTTTTCAACTTTCAAACATTTGCAGTCCTTGATCCCAACATGTAAGTGATTGTAACCTCCTTCAAAAACAATGCTGTCCTGCATCATCCTCAAAAGCATTCCGCCTGATTTTCTTACTGCCACCCGTTTCCTTTTTCAAAGTCAGGGTATTAATGTATTCATCAGTCATTTCCACTAACTCATCAACATCAAAAAACCACTCACCTTGTTACTCCTGCCTCCCCCCAAAATGATATACACTGCCTCACTCAAACGTTCAACGTCTATACGCTTCTGGCTCTTGTTAGTTCCCCCTGGTTTTTACTAAGGCCCTGGTTTGAACAAATCGTGATAATTGTTTACTGACTGTTACAGGTAAAAATGAGCAGACCCAATGCACATGATTTGCTTCGATGTTTTTGGTGACTCGGTTCATATCGGTTGGAATCTTCCAACAAATCGTAAGAGGGTTTGAGGCTTGAAGGCTTCTCCTTTGGGCCTAAACCCGCAAGAGTTTCAAGGACTTCACTAGTTTCGGAAGTCGCCACCCGAATCTCTGTCTTGGAGGATTGCATCAATACACTCACCACTTTCGTTTGGCTCTGAGGCCCGATGAATGGCTAGTACACGCTCCTCCGGACGTGTCACAAAACTTGTTTTTTTTTTTTTTTAAATACTTTTCGGAGGATTGAGGACCATGGACTGCGAAAGCTTGAAGCGTGTGTGGCCGTGCTTTCAACGTCGTTCGGGCGCGCTCCCAACTCCTGCCGTGTCCTTCCTCACGAACGAGGCTCCCGACACTTCCCCGCGACCGCAGCGGCGCAGCAGGAAGCCACCCTGAGAATGCCGATGGATAGGCACAGGATCAACTCCTCTTTTGAGACTTGGACACTATGGAGGCGTTGTATGTTACTGTATGAGTCTTTTCACTCACAAGCTAGAACATGCTAGAACCGATTCATGTCCAACATCCAAGCACGCACCTGCAGGAAAGTAACCTTGATCAAACAATCAATCTCCATTTTTTCGGTGCCACTTCTGGAATTGGTTTGTGGAAGGGCCTCTTGGAGTTGTGTGAGCATCGAGGAACCTCCCAGATTTTATCGGGGTGCAAGCACCATCAACACGAGCTCTGTGGCAGAATTCAGCCGGACGCTGAGAAATCATGATGTTTTGCTCTTACGCCCCCGTGGCGTCGCCCTTCTTCAGGGCAGTGTCAATACCTTGCCCCTTCTCCTCCCTCTGCCTGAAGTCGCGGACTGCTGTGGGTCGGCGCTTTGGGGGTGCTTGCGCCACCAGCCACTGGCCTCCAGTGGGTGCGGAACACCAACTCTGCGGTGGAACAAACAGAACTCCGAACGATTCATGGCGTGAACTGTTCTGGACCACACTGAGCAGGAGGACGAAGCCAAAACAAGTGCTGCGCTGGGGTAGCCAAATAGTTATTTATAAATGTTTGCTTGTGTGCCTCCCATGACAGCAACATCACCTCAAAGAACCACAACAACCTTCCTCGCCTGTTGGCTGTAGCGCGACAGCTACTATAAGAATTCGATAGAATTCGATCTCATGAGCTAAAAACTCTTATTTCAATAAGTACGGCCTCCTAAGGACAGTTGCTCTTAAACATCCAACGCTCTGCAGCCAGCACACGCCACCACGGCTGGAGAGCTTTTGGGCTCACCCTTCTTCTCGCGCGAGGCGCCTCAAGCGTCGCATGGGTCGCAGGGGTTGCGTCTCCAACGCGACGCCACAGGACCTACGCCACGCGACGCCAAGCCATACCAAGCGTAAATAGTCTCCCTGCTCACCGTACCCTCAGGAGAAGGTATGTGGATCCCTATAGGGCCTTACGTCGCATGGAGTGGCAGTTTCTCGGGCCTTTGTCATCAGCGAGGCCAGGAGCGAGGCAGGGGCACAAAGAGCTCTCCTAAAAATACAATAACATACCAGCACCACCCAATGGGTGGTTTATAGACCCCCCTGAAGATATTTCCAAACCAAAAACTACTCTACAGTGGTGCAAGCAAATAACCTCTTGGTTTTTGGAGCTGTGCTCCAGAAAATGAGCGCGCCCGCAATCCAATAGTTTGTAATCCGTAATGCTCCTTAGGACTGTAAGGATTGCGTTTGATAAGGCCAGCTTTGACCTGCAACAATGGGAGCAGAACTGAAATGAGCTGAAGGTACCACATTTATTGTGATTGCCATCCAAAGATGTCACACAGGTCGAACATATTCCTTCAAGTACCATGTACGTCTTGCAATTCCCAAGTGCTCTTCAGCAAATCATTGGTCCAAACATTTCACTTAGTATTCCCTAGGGCTCCAACCACCTGAGAAGGTGGTTGGGGTGGGTCTGGGGGGTCTAACTACATTCTGAGGAGGTTGGAGCCCTGGGGATTTAAGTCCCATCCTTAATCTGAGATTCTTTTTGTTTTTTCCGGAGAAGGGTTCCCCCTCCGAGGTGGACAAGGTCGGTCGCTGCGACAGGCCCGGGCCAGAGCAAAAATACTCGCGCAAAGAGTAGCCTCGCGGGGGGCGGGGAGTCGGCGAGAGTGGTTTTCTGGTGAAAATACGTACCGCGATGAGAAGAGAGCTTCAGAGAGCTTAGAGATGGTGTCATGCGTATACCGTATACCACACAACATCACACAACTAGGATGGTGCTTGTCTGCTTGAATGTTGCGATGTGTGGAGGAACGTGCCATTTGAGGCCAGTCAAGGGCCACTACATTCTAAGCTATACGATTTAAATCTATTTAAGACTCATCTTTTGCATGCTAGGAGATTCTTTGCAGGCTCGTGGTTCCCGACCCTAAGAGACCAGTGACAGGTCTTAGGATGTCTTAGGTCTTTTGGGCCCTCAACGTAGCACGTGTTGTTTTTAAATGCGTGGACACGCTACAGTCCCTACCAGTAGAACTGCAATTCAATTGGTCTGATCAGAATAGACTCTTGGTCTCAAAGCAATCATTTTTAAAGCTGGTTTAAGCATTGAGTACTTGGCAATGGGCAAACTCCTCATAGGAAACCACGGGTATCAACAACAAATAAAGGGTGTAACGTAGCAATAAGGCCGGAAAGCACCTGGTTCCAAAGCGGACAATCAGAATTGGGAAGGGCGAACTTCTGCCAAGTCGTCGTCGTCATTGTCTTGTTCCGTGATCTCTTCGCGCGAGAAAGCAAAACATTGCGCTCAAGCGGGTCTGCAATAGTGTCCCAGCCTGTTTCCTGATCCTCCCCGAACGCTATAGAACCATGGACCAACTGACAAAAATATCTGGAGCAGCTCCTCTACAAACTGCAAGGCGTTACTTCTGGAGATCGAGCATGTTCTAATGGTATATATGCATATGCCTATATACATTGAACCTTGAAACCAACCCAACGTAGACATATATTATATTCCATACCTGGAGTGATTGGGGACATGTTTATTTTTGTGGGCGGTACCACTGATGACCTGGTGCATTCCTGGCCCATTTGTGCCGCCTTTCGCCCTGGGTTCACCTCTTTTCTTTCGCATTCTACGAATCGATTCGGGATGTCCTTCAAGTCCGGGCGAAGCCGCAACAATTGGTACGACACAAACCCCGACATTCTCGGTCAAGAATTGAACCCCGACCAAACCTCCACAACCCTCCAATCTCCAAATCAAGAGCGTGAAAAAGATTGTCTCAAACTACAACCTTTCCCAAACAAAACCCACAGAAGTATAAATGGATTTATTTAATTGGCCAGTGGATTAATCAGTTAAAACGACAAAGAACTTGTTGTTCCAAACATCTCACACTATGGTGCAAGCCCCGTGTGCTATTTGTTCGGCAATCTTTGTCATAAGGGATGTTACATAACATGTGTCATTTTGTGTCAACGTTTTCACATGCATGTTGAAGAATAACGTTTTCACATGCATGTTGAAGAATATGTCGAAATCTGCAGACGTGAAAAGCATAACTCCTCCTCCGCTCAGTTGGATAAACTGGAACTTTGGTTGCTACAAAATAAACGAAGAGCATGAAACATGGCAGAAGTGTGAAAAAACCACTGTTGTTCGTTCAAGGGTGTCTTGTCAAAAGAGAATAACAGCTACTGTAATTATGCACTTTTTCTTGGTGAAACAATATCAGATTGCCGGCTCGCGGGAATACCTCTCGCGGATTGCAGATTGGGAAACCAGTGGGCAGAAAGACCTCACCTGCAAGTTTTATAACCACCAAAGATTCTGCAGCTCAGAAACCCCCGTCTGAAAAGGATGTGTACTGTGTAAGCCGAGCCTGTAGTGCTACGAGTAGGATGTGTAAGCCTAGCCTCCGCTCTGACCCTCCGCGCCGTCGCCAGGAACACAAATGACAGGATGGCAATCATCAGGTACTGGCATGGGAGTGCAAGAGGTAGACTGGGGTATTAGAAGCTATAGGAAGTGCATATAATATAAATAAGTATATATATATAATTATATATGTATAGCATGTAGTCATGCAGTATTCATATAAACGTGCAATTAGGAAAGACTTGCCCAATTCACAGGGCTACCGGCCACCCGTATCAAACTCAGCAGGCGGAGGGTCAATCTGCTGATCTATGAGGCAGATAGTCTGCAAATGATAAGTTTTGGTTCCACTTGAAAATGTCTGTCCTCCATCTCCAGTTCGGGGAAGTGATAAGTTTTGGTTCCACTTAGAATCGCGGAAACTCACATGAATCATCCCCAATCAAAACGTTGGTCTACTACGCGTAACTTACGCGCTCCGTTGGGGGGTCTCGGGTAACTCGCGCCTGTCCGAAACGGAAGGTGGGTCGAAGCCGAGTTCGATCCCTCGGGTCTCCGGGCTGCTGCTGTTCATGAAGATCAAACATCGATCCGTCAAGGCTTCCCTGAAGGCGCCAGCGAACTCCGGCTCCTCACGATCGACGGACACGTGCCCCGGCGACGATCCGGTGACTTGGCCTTCAGGCCAGGCGGCACAGCGCCCTAACCGAGGTGTTTCCAAGCGATGAGAACAGTGTGACCGCAGGTGACCGGTCATTTGGACCATGTTCACTTGTCTTCTGCCTCCACCAGCTCCACCAGAATTGCAGCTCCACCAGTTTCATGGGGGAGTAACGTGTTTCTTGAGCTCGGGCGGCTGCAGGACGACGAGTCTTCAGCGTGTCTTGAGGTTTTTTTCGGTACAGTCGTTACATATAGTCATCGAGAAACGCCACTAACAGGGGTAGCCATTCCTACAAAAGCTCCTAGGTCCCGCTACCTGATGATCCTCTTGACTCTTAACGTTGCCCATTAGAGCCCCACATACACGACGCCCAGTCCTTGTAGCTGATCAGCCTTGGCTCCAAAGGCGTCTTTTGAGGCACGGAATGCGGACCCCCCGCGTAGCGGGCGGAGTACAGCAACGGGATGGAGGCGATCGCCCGATCAAAAAGAACAATCAAAGTCTTGCAAAGCCAAAAAAAAACAAGAAGCTACTAGTAGTAACAAGAAGCTACTAGTAACAAGGGCATTAGTTACTAGTAACAAGAAGCTACAAAGTTACTAGGTTGGAGGCCATTGATACTAGTAACAAGAATTTGGGCACAGGACTCCCCTAAAGGACCTCAATGAAACCAGAATAACATCAACCTCATGGCCCCAAATCGCCAGCTTTGTTGTGTGGGAGTCCACATCAAGGAAGTTGCAAGACAGGGTTTTCACTGCTTTTGGCCTTGGTTTCCCAGGTCAGGCGCGTGCTCCAAATTGAGTTGGTTGCGAATGACTTTGCCCGGGTAAAGCGCTTAGGTGTTGAGAATGTGAATCCGCAAGCCCGAAGCGTATTGAAGGTATAAATGGTTCCAGGGTTACGTTTGGTCCAACTCAAGACTTACTCCCCCTCAAACAAACATGAAAGTGGACAGTCCCCATTTTGTAGAGGAACCTTGTCTATCCAAAGGAAAAACACCATCCACGTAACCATCCACGGACGTTTCAGGGAGTGTTTGTCAGGCATTGGCTATACGGCTACAATGGCCATTGTCGGCTGCCAACGTGTGGCTGGTTTCTGCTCTCCCGACCCGGTCGCCGAGACATGGACCAAAGCAGGACATCGAGACATCGACAGCTGCGATCTGCCTCGACTTGCTTCAATCTCTGCACAGACTTGTTGTGAAGATGTAGTCCGATGGACTTGCCGCTTTCTCGCAGCTGGCCAAAAGCGTATACCAAACATGCATATGTTTCAGAGACGCCTCGCTTTCTTTCGCGGCCACCTGCCTTGTGCCCCTCAAAGGACTCCAGACTTATCGACCGCTCTGTACATGTACCAGCTCCAAATGCCTTGGGATCCGTTGTCGTACCTTCGGTTCACAACCAACACTGGACCCAACGGCACCTCACCGAAGCTGCGAGTGTCTCCGTCCTCGACGTTCGAAGGTACGACTGGATCGCCCGGACTGGGCGAAGGTCACGCCCGGACGACCCGGAGAGCGCGCGGCTTACGGCTTACGTGGCGGGCGTTCGCTGCATATGGGCGTTCGCTGCGGCGAGGGCGCAGCTTACTTACGTGGCCCATGTGAGGGCGCCACACGAAGGCCCGCCCAAGTTAGAGGCGCTGCGCGGAGAGCCCTCGGAGACCACATCCACTGGATTTGGGATTGATGTGAAGCTTTGCTCCAGCCTGCGGGGGTCTTTGTTGGCAAATGCCAGCGTGCACTGCCAGTGTGCACTGCTTGTGTCAAGGAGGGGCCACGGCTAGTTTCACAGGTATGCTGAATTCACTCTAGCTTGCGGTTACAAACCACTGTAAAGCTGCGTCAAAATCAGTGGGGTCTATCTGGCTTGAAGAGTGAACAAACGACAAGTTTAAATACTAACAATAAGGCTCTATTATGCTCTATTTGTTCTATCTACTCCACCACTTGTCAATTTGATGGATCCAAATTCATGAAAGCATCAAGTCTCCAAAACTCTCTCACTTGAAGGCTTGAAACAAGGTGAAACCAAACCCTGAGGATCGAAAGTTAGCTCTATATGCTAACATTTGGGGTTGTGCCTTCTGGGGCTCTCCGACCTCACCCTGTGAGGTCCGACCTCAAAAAACGAGATCATACCAGAACCCAAAAACCACAAAACCAACGATCCCAAATTCAAATTCGTCACGGGTTGTCACGCTGGAGTCCGACAATGACCTCATTTTTAAAGGGACAAAATAGACCAATCACGGTCTGTCACGGTTCGTCACGCCCTGGTATGCTTGGTTCTTGGGATTTCATGGTCTTATCCTCCGACAATGATACTGGAATTGTATATACATTTCAGGTACCCCAATCTGTGATTCGACAACGTCTTCAAATAACACGATCAATAGAAACGTATGCATATCCTGAGATCATTTCTATTTGTGACCTATGTGTGGTCATGGATCGTCAGGGAAACAAACCAGGGAGGCCAAACATGGCGAGCTCCATGTCTAGCAGCTCTACCCAGCCCTGCTGCCCCAGGCACAGCTGCACCGTGGAGTGGGACCCCATGGGACGGACCAACTCCAGCGTGGTCACCTCTTCAGCGCTCGGCCAGCGGCGGGTCAGCGGTTTTTCCACCCCGCCCCCATGCATGGTACGTATGCGTGGGCGGAACAACACAGCGCGCAAACACACGTGGGATGTGTGCCAAGAGTCCTGAGTGGTGTTTTGTCTATCCTGGACACTGATGATTCAATTCCAGTTCATCTGATGACAAAACCTGGATAATGGTTCCATTCCCAGCTTCTTAAAGAATTGAACTAACACGTCTATCAGTTGAAGAATCGACTATGTTTTGGTGTGTGGAATGTTGGCATGGATTCGCCTCTCTTGGAAACATTTTTTCCCTCCTGCGACAGGTTTTTTGAACATTGACGCGCTGCCGCTACTTGACCACATCTGCCCACCCGCCATCGCATCCACGATGGTTCCCACTGCTCCAGGCCTCCCCAAAGAGCACACAGAAGCGGTACCATAGAGACCTTGACGGGTCCCCCACATCTCCCAAGCAGGTGCTAGGCGGGCCTGACCTCTCGGGCGGCTACCAGTCACTAGCGCACCATTTTGGCGTATAGTCACTATAGTCTCAGCAGCTTGGGGGAACCTTCGATGAACAGTTGCACTAATTATTATTGAAACTATTCAATTCCGTTCAATACCATGTACCACGAGCATAGATCACTGCAATTGTTTGGCTAAACATAGCTAAACAATGTTTTAGACTTCACTGTAAAGAAGCCCCTCAACAAATGGGTGTTGTTGACATGCGTTCAATCAAATTCCTTTCCCTCTTGAGGCCCTCTTGCTTGCGTCATTGCTCCTTGCGGAAACGGCTGGGACATTCAATCCTTTTAAGTTGTTGGCCCAATCACCCGCCAACAACAGCTTAGTCCCTACTAAAACGTTTGAAGAGAACAACGCCCACAGGTTTCCCTCCTTGTTGTTCCGCTCACTCACTTGCCCTCCTCGGATCGGCTAGGCCAAATTCTTTTGAAACAGGCCCATCTGGCCCATCTGGAGCCCCGTGCAGTCCATGTGTTGACCATGTCACTGCTCCACCTCCGACCAAAACACCCCCATGTGACGGCACAGTCCACACGGTGGCCGTTTCTGTCCGTTGTCGGACTCCCCAAGTTCCTCGCCGCGGCCCAAGAACGGCCCCCGAAGCCTCGGCCCGAGAACGATCTCGCCTCGGCCCCAACTGGTTCACCTGCCGACACGCACCGCTCGCGACCGTTCGGGTGACGCCGCCGATCGGGCTGAGACGGAGCGAGCGACGCGACGAAGGTTTCTCCTCCGGGCGGTGAGACGAGCTTTTTTTGGACGAGCTGATGGCAGTCGAAGGGTGTTCAGTCTCCACGGGGATCTGAACACCTGAGGGGGCCACCTGTTTCTCGCGGGTTTCTACAAGACTTGATGAGACTTGCGGGACTTTTGGGTGATCAGCTCTGTCTTTGGTGGCCCCAACGAATGAGTGGATCAGTGGATGATTGGAAATGGTCGTTTCTTTCCACCTGCACATGTCAGCTGATGATGGGAAAGGTGCACCATGTTCCACCACCATGAGGCCTAAAACAAGGGAGGAAACCCATTTGCTGGCATATGGAGCTAGGGATAGCTGGGGCGTTGTCGTCGCTCGACGGGCTTCGTGAGACACGAAGCAACTCGCCTGCATTATACTTTTCCAAAGCAACCTTCTCAAGAAATACACCGGCTGCTTCTTTCAACCCAACGGTTCCAACGCAAGAAAGAGTGATTGGGATAATTAAAGTGGCTGAATCATACCAAATGAAAACTGACCTTGCAAACACATGCAAAAGCAACCTTGCGATATCACGCACTTCTGGCACTGATCATTAATCGACCTCAGTGATTCAAACCTGCATAAACTGGTCGGCAAAAGGAACACATCAAAACAAACACTTCAGAAGAAACAGTTTGAAGAAACCGAGCAGTACAGGACTTCACTCAACTTCACTCACCCGGTTTCCTCCCTCACGCCTGTTTGGGTGCTTCTCCCTCGACCCACCGTGTTGGAACCTCCAGCGCCAAGGTACGCCTCCTGTCGTCTGCGGGTGGAGCGCCCGTCAGTCAAACAGCCACGACGTGGATTCTACACCGGTCTACTTGTACCAATCCCAGACACTCCATGGGACTGCCGATCAGTTGGGGTGGTTTTGGAGGTCAATGTAGGCATATGTATAGGCATATGGCATGCATGGAGTGTCAGGGAATGCCGCAAAAACCGAGAAAAGAAAACACTTGGGAATCGTTGCAAGGTCTATGTTCTGCATACATGGCCGTTGCTACTGTCACATGCTTGAGACTCACAAGCCAGAACTGGTCAGTTGCGCGGTCAGTGACTGCGAACTGTGAAGTTCGAAGACCGGGAAAAACCGCACCAGTATGGATTCCGGGTCAAAAACATGTCGAGGACAGTTGACCCGCGGAAGTGGGTCGCCTTTTTGAGCGTCTTTCGATCACGGGTCCACAGCCTTCGACAAGAAAACTGGACCGACCACCCCGGGCGACGCGCGTGTGGGCCACACAGGCCTGGGCCCTCGCAATTCCTTTTCCACCTGCAGCCATTCGCCCGAAAGGAAAGCACACAAAGTACAGGTGCAAATTGACCTCTTTGGATCATGTTTATTAAAGAAGTGGTTACAGTAATTCTATAGATGAATTGTGGAACTGATGAAACTTGGACCACACCAAAAAATGACTTGCAAGACGTGACACGGAAATCTGTGTGGCACCCGGCCTAGCAAAAATTAGCGCGGCAAAAGGAATTGAAACGGTTGCGAATTCAAATGCAATTACAATACTATATACCCAGTCCTTTTCAATTCAAATGCATCCTGAGCTAGCTTTCCCACATCAGGAGGTATCAACCCCTGGAGGTTTTGACCCACCTACCTACCTGCCTAGTTGAAATCCACCTGCCTGGCCTCACTTCAGTTTCCACCCGATGCAGGCACTCCTAGGGTTCCGGACCATTTCGGCCATCCGATCGGCGTGAGTCTCTGAGGCAGTGTCGTTGAGGGAGGTCCAAGTGCCAACCACCTGAGGGAGCTCCAAGTGGCCCATCCGAAGCGCGGAAGAGCACGGTCCAATTGCCCTACGTGTTTCACACGGCCCATCCGACCCTCATGGGTGATGAAACAAATCACCTCAAAGCCAGAGAGAGACTGCATGGCTTGGAGGCCTTTCGCATCGCCGACCTGGCACCTGTGGCCGACGTTTAGGCCTCCGGGCCAGCCCTCCGCAAAGCTTCTTGCCCTGCCAGTTCTGCTGTAGGCGCTGGCACCTGCCATGTGCGGTTTCTGCTTAGAGACGACCAAAGGCCTCTGTTCAATGAACTAAACGTTGCACACTCCGATCACAACAACTACAGGTCCTTCCCTTATTTAAGCAAACTCAACACACACTGTTCCTCTGAGAGAATCCGTTCATGTCCTAATTTCCGCTTCAGGTGACAGCCAATCCATGGGTTCAAGCACTGGGGCACTTGGGCACTGCTCACACAGCACGCAACACCATCCCACTCTGCATGTGGGATGTTCTACAGCTTTGGATCTCTTTCGGGACCCGGAACAAACCACAAAATGCTCCCCCGATATATAGACCCGTGAGCGAGTGGAAAATCTCACGCGCCCAACGAGCTAACACGTGAGCGAAAACCTCTGACGTTTCCATCGTTCTCTGCGTATCATTCAGGAATTGAACATGCAGCATGTTCGAATCTACTTGACACACCAAAAGAGAGACCTTAGAGTTCACAAAGGTGCACACCGGATGCTGCTAAGGAACACATATATATATATATAACTAATATAACATACTGGCAATTTCTTGGGTTTCTTTGCATATGTTTGGAGGCATCACCCCACGTTTAAAGCTATGGCTGGGTCAGAAAGTCTCCAGCACCATAGATCTGACAGGTCTGTCCCGGAATCAATCGGTACTTGATGAACTGAAATGATCCTTGTATCTATGTATGTTGTATAAATATGATATGATATGACAAAGGATGTAGGTATATGGGTATGCAGGTAGGTATGTATGTGTGTATGTAGGTAGGTAGCTAGGTATGTATGTATGTAGGTAGGTATGTATGTAGGTAGGTAGGTAGGTATGTAGGTAGGTAGGTGGGTAGGTAGGTCTGTAGGTCTGTCTGTCTGTGTCTGTCTGTCTCTGTCTCTCTGTGTCTCTGTGTCTCTGTGTCTCTGTGTCTCTGTGTCTCTCTCTGTCTCTCTCTGTCTCTCTCTCTGTCTCTCTCTGTCTCTCTCTGTCTCTCTCTGTCTCTCT